GCAGATGCACCCTCCAGGTGAGAAAGGGGGGCTCAGTGCAGATGCACCCTCCAGGTGAGAAAGGGGCTCAAAGTGCACATGTACCCTCTAGGTGAGAAAGGGGGGCTCAGAGTGCAAATGCACCCTCAAGGCGAGAAATGGAGCACCCTTGGGGTGATGTGCCCTTGGGAGACAAGGCAGGGAGGCTCTGGAGGCAGATGCATCCTTAAGGAGAGATGAGGAGGCCCTGAGGTTCAGGCACGTTGAGGTCCCTGGGCATAAGCAGCTGAGATGGCACCCAGGAGCTGCTCAGGGTCTGGGAGCCATGGCCACCGTGTGAGCTCCTGTCACTGGGGAGGGAGGGGAGAAAGCCTAGCATTCCTTAGCAGTGTTCTTGCTCCCAAGACGTTCTCAGCAGGTTTTATGGAATGAGTTGTTGAAAGGAGTGAATATCCAGTCCTGAGATGCCTGAAGTCCCACCCGAGTTCACTGCTAGTGCCCCTCACCCCATGTCTACCTAAACTGAGGCTCCATGAGCAACTACCTTTCTCAGCAGGCTGGCTATGCTGTGGTTCCCTCTGTGCATCTGGGAGCCAGGGGGACTTCGGATTCCTTCTGTAGCTTCCTGTGAGCCCTCATTGACCACGGCGCCTCCCCTCTTTTCTAGGGCATCTGCCTGAGCCTGCTTTTCTACAAGATGTGGGGATTTTTGAAGCGCCCTGTAGTGGTGACCGCCGACATCAACTTGCACCTTGTGGCCCTGACTGGGATGGGGTTACTGAGCCGGCTGTGGCAACTCACCTACCCGAGGGCCGTGGTGTAAGCGAAATGACTGCATTCCCAGCGTGAATTGAGAATTGTACTTTGTGACAGGAGGGGCCTTACTTAATGGCATAAATAGGAAAGTGAAATCTGGCCCGTTAGATGGGTGCGGTAGAGGAAAATCTGGTTGCCAGCCTTAGATAACAGTTTCAAAGTCTGGATGGCAGAGGACTGATGGATTTGGAAGTGAGACTTCACTGTTGACAGCACTCAGAATGTGTTTTTGTCATAATCGGAAGTGATTGCTGTTAGTATTGAAGGGCTGTTTATTAACTGATTAATGTGTGTTCTTTTTTGTTTAACTTTTTATTATGGAAAATGTCAAACATACGCAAAAGCAGGGAGACGAGTATAATGAATGGCCCCCCACACACACCAGTATATTCATTACCCAGCTTCACCTGTATCAGTTCACAGCCAGCCACCTCCCTGCAGTGGAACTGTGAAGCAAATCCTAGACATGTTGTATTCATAGATAATTCAGTGTATCTGCAAAAGATGAGGATTTTTTTTTTTGAGACAGAGTCTTGCTCTGCCACTCAG